TCAGAAGGGGGAAAGGAGAAGATTAGTTGTGTGTCGTCTGCATAGCAATGATAGGAGAGGCCATGTGAGGATATGACAGAACCAAGTGACTTGGTGTATAGAGAGAATAGGAGAGGGCCTAGAACTGAGCCCTGGGGGACACCAGTGGTGAGAGCACGTGGTGCGGAGACAGATTCTCGCCACGCCACTTGGTAGGAGCGACCGGTCAGGTAGGACGCAATCCACGAGTGAGCCGCGCCGGAGATGCCCAGCTCGGTGAGGGTGGAGTGGAGGATCTGATGGTTCACAGTATCAAAGGCAGCAGACAGGTCTAGAAGGACAAGAGCAGAGGAGAGAGAGTTAGCTTTAGCAGTGCGGAGAGCCTACGTGACACAGAGAAGAGCAGTCTCAGTTGAATGACCAGTCTTGAAACCTGACTGGTTTGGATCAAGAAGGTCATTCTGAGAGAGATAGCAAGAGAGTTGGCTAAAGACGGCACGCTCAAGAGTTTTGGAGAGAAAAGAAAGAAGGGATACTGGTCTGTAGTTGTTTACATCAGAGGGATCGAGTGTTGGTTTTTTGAGAAGGGGTGCAACTCTCGCTCTCTTGAAGACGGAAGGGACATAGCCAGCGGTCAAGGATGAGTTGATGAGCGAGGTGAGGTAAGGGAGAAGGTCACCGGAGATGGTCTGGAGAAGAGAGGAGGGGATAGGGTCAAGCGGGCAGGTTGTTGGGCGGGCGGCCGGCCGGCCATCACAAGTCGCAAGATTTTATCTGGAGCGAGAGGGGAGAAAGAAGTCAAAGCATAGGGTAGGGCAGTGTGAGCAGGACCAGCAGTGTCATTTGACTTAACAAACGAGGATCGGATGTCGTCAACCTTCTTTTCAAAATGGTTGACGAAGTCATCCACAGAGGGGGGGGAGGGGAGGAGGATTCAGCAGGGAGGAGAAGGTGGCAAAGAGCTTCCTAGGGTTAGAGGCAGATGCTTGGAATTTAGAGTGGTAGAAAGTGGCTTTAGCAGCAGAAACAGATGAAGAAAATGTAGAGAGGAGGGAGTGAAAAGATGCCAGGTCCGCAGGGAGTCTATTTTTCCTCCATTTCCGCTCGGCTGCCCGGAGCCCTGTTCTGTGAGCTCGCAATGAGTCATCAAGCCACGGAGCAGGAGGGGAGGACCGAGCCGGCCGGGAGGATAGGGGACATAGAGAGTCAAAGGATGCAGAAAGGGAGGAGAGGAGGGTTGAGGAGGCAGAATCAGGAGATTGGAGGGAGAGGGATTGAGCAGAGGGAAGAGATGATAGGATGGAAGAGGAGAGAGTAGCGGGAGAGAGAGAGCGAAGGTTGCGACGGCGCATTACCATCTGAGTAGGGGCAGAGTGAGTAGTGTTGGAGGAGAGCGAGAGAAAGGATACAAAGTAGTGGTCGGAGACATGGAGGGGAGTTGCAGTGAGATTAGTAGAAGAACAGCATCTAGTAAAGATGAGGTCAAGCGTATTGCCTGCCTTGTGAGTAGGGGGGGGGGGGGGGGGGGGGATGGTGAGAGGGTGAGGTCAAAAGAGGAGAGGAGTGGAAAGAAGGAGGCAGAGAGAAATGAGTCAAAGGTAGACGTAGGGAGGTTGAAGTCACCCAGAACTGTGAGGGGTGAGCCGTCCTCAGGAAAGGAACTTATCAAGGCGTCAAGCTCATTGATGAACTCTCCAAGGGAACCTGGAGGGCGATAAATGACAAGGATGTTAAGCTTGAATGGGCTAGTGACTGTGACAGCATGGAATTCAAATGAGGAGATAGACCGATGGGTCAGGGGAAAAAGAGAGAATGTCCACTTGGGAGAGATGAGGATTTCTGTGCCACCACCCCGCTGACCAGATGCTCTCGGGGTATGCGAGAACACATGGTCAGACGAGGAGAGAGCAGTAGGAGTAGCAGTGTTTTCAGTGGTAATCCATGTTTCCGTCAGCGCCAAGAAGTCGAGGGACTGGAGGGTAGCATAGGCTGAGATGAACTCTGCCTTGTTGGCAGCAGAACGGCAGTTCCAGAGGCTGCCTGAGACCAGACCACCACAGTCCCTGTGCCCAAGAACACTAAAGTCTGTAGCCATGAAGTGCTTTGAAAGAATGGTCATGGCTCACATCAACACCATTATCCCAGAAACCCTAGACCCACTCCAATTTGCATACCGCCCCAACAGATCCGCAGATGATGCAATCTCTATTGCACTCCACACTGCCCTTTCCCACCTGGACAAGAGGAACATCTACGTGAGAATGCTATTCATTGACTACAGCTCAGCGTTCAACACCATAGTGCCGACAAAGCTCATCACTAAGCTAAGGACCCTGGGACTAAACACCTCCCTCTGCAACTGGATCCTGGACTTCCTGACGGGCCGCCCCCAGGTAGTAAGGGTAGGTAACAACACATCTGCCAACACGGGGGCCGCTCAGGCGTGCATGGTCAGTCCCCTCCTGTACTCCCTGTTCACCCATGAACGCATGGCCAGGCACGACTCCAACACCATCATTAAGTTTGACGACGACACAACAGTGGTAGGCCTGATCACCGACAATGATGAGACAGCCTAAAGGGAGGAGTTCAGAGACCTGGCCATGTGGTGCCAGGATAACAACTTCTCCCTCAACGTGATCAAGACAAAGGAGATGATTGTGGAATACAGGGAAAAAAAGAGGACTGAGTACGCCCTCATTCTCATTGACGGGGCTGTATTGGAACAGGTTGAGAGCTTCAAGTTCCTTGGTGTCCACATCACCAACAAACTATCATGGTCCAAACACACCAAGATAGTCGAAAAGAGGGCACGACGAAGCCTATTCCCCCTCAGGAGACTGAAAATATTTGGCATGGGTCCTCAGATCCTTAATGTTCTACAGCTGCTCCATCGAGAGCATCCTGACTGGTTGCATCACTGCCTGGTATGGCAACTGCTCGGCCTCCGACCGCAAGGCACTACATTTTTACATTTACATTTTAGTCATTTAGCAGACACTCCTATCCAGAGCGACTTACAGTTAGTGAGTGCATACATTTTCATACTGGCCCCCCGTGGGAAACGAACCCACAACCCTGGCGTTGCAAGCGCCATGCTCTACCAACTGAGCTACAGGGGACCATCTCTGGTTAGTATTGCAGGAATACATCTGTTATAATTACTCTCTGTGGTAAACAGAAGTAGGCGGTTAGTGCTGAGCATTTAACGATATTTCTGTTATTTTTTTGTTTTTTAAACAACTAATTGACCAATGTCAGTTCAATTATTTGAATTTCATTTCGTGAGGGTAGTGTGTACGGCCCAGTACATCACTGGGGCCAAGCTACCTGCCATCCAGGACCTCTCTACCAGGCGGTGTCAGAGGAAGGCCCTAAAAATGGTCAAAGACTCCAGCCACCCTAGTCATAAACTGTTCTCTCTGCTACCGCACAGCAAGCGGTACCGGAGCGCCAAGTCTAGGTCCAAAAGGCTTTTTAACAGCTTCTACCCCCCAAGCCATAAGACTGCTGAACAGCTAATCATAGCTACCCGGACTATCCACCCCCTCTTTTATGCTGCTGCTACTCTCTGTTTATTATCTATGCATAGTCACTTTAACTCTACCCACATGTACATATTACCTCAATTACCTCGACTAACCTGTGCCCCCGCACATTGACTCTGTACCGGTACCCCCCTGTATATAGCCTCCCTACTGTTTTATTTTACTGCTGCTCTTTAATTATTTGTTTTAAAAAAAAATAATTAACACCTTTTTTTTCTTTCTTAAAACTGCATTGTTGGTTAAGGGCTTGTAAGTAAGCATTTCACCTGTTGTATTTGGCGCATGTGGCAAATACAATTTGATTTGATTAGAGACACATATTTCCCTCAGATTAAACAGACCCACAAAGAATTTGAAAACAATTCTAATTTTGATAAACTCCCATATCTATTGGGTGAAATACCACAGTGTGCCATCACAGCAGCAATATTTATGACCTGTTGCCACAAGAAAAGGGCAACCAGTGAAGAACAAACACCATTGTAAATACAACCCATATTTATGTTTATTTATTTTCCCATTTGTACTTTAACTATTTGCACATCGTTACAACACTGTATATAGCCATAATGACATTTGAAATGTCTCTTCCTTTGGTGTAATGTTTGCTGTACATTTTTTATTCTTTATTTCACTTTTGTTTTATCTATTTCACTTGCTTTGGCAATGTAAACATGTTTCCCATGCCAATAAAGCCCTTGAATTGAATTGATTGCTAACGAAAAGCATTGCATTTTTCATTAGTGACTGCATCAGCAGGCCAAGTGAAGGTAGAACTGTTTCTGCAGTTCTTCCTCGTGGCAGCTGTTTAAAAAAAAAAAGAATGCGGTGCCTCGACAAAAACATTATGCAACCAAATACTTTTATAGCCTTATCAATCATGATCTTTGATGTTCAACGTTAACTTTCTTCAAACTTTGTATTGAGCATTTGATTGAGCAGCGACTGTCCCTGAATATTAAACGTGAACTCTGCCATTTTAATGAATTGTATGTAACATTTTGTAGCTACGAACTGAGCGTTGCAAGTATTCATACAAAAGTCAGGAAACCTGTCAGTGGAATAACAACCACTCCTATCATTGAGGTCCATATTTTGTATATTAACCTTTTTTCATCATGAAGTTTAGATTCAAGCTTATTTTTTTAATTTTTTTTTATCCATAAAGTATTGATGCAGCAAGTTATAGTTGCCGAAATGTGACCATTCTAAACAGGATGTCTCGGAGAGTGGGATATGCAAAAAACACATTTCCAATTCACACATGTATTAATACACACTTCTACATGTGTGAAAAAGGTCAAATATAAGCACCCACCAAATTACTTATGCATAGAATACAATTTGTATACCATGTGTGCATTATATCAATTTTGAGTGTTTGTAATGCAGCTGTAAACAATGCACGCATACATTAAAACAAAACGGTAATCTTTGAATTACATGAATAAAAATAAAGAAATATCCTTATAGGTACGAGAACTTGTCCTGGACAACTGCAGCTCAAATGAAGGAAAAATTGAAGGCCTCACAGCAGAATTCGTCAATCTGGAATTCCTCAGTTTGATAAACGTTGGTTTAATCTCAGTCTCCAACCTTCCCAAACTTGGGAAACTCAAAAAGGTAAAGTTTTGCTTTATATTGTTTTTGACACAAGCTTACACTTACATTTACAGTAATAAAATGTAGACATTTGTGTTGTTGGGGGGTAGAAAAAGCCATTGACTACGTCCCTAATGGCACTCATATAGTGCACTACCTTTGAGAGCCCTGGTCTAAAGTAGTGCACTATGTAATGTAAGGAATAGGGTTCTATTTGGGACATAATCATTGTTTTCTGAAAGACCGTTACTTGCTTGGGAGTTTTTTTCGACAGAAGTGACTGATATATCTTCACAATATGTTGCAGTTGGAACTCAGTGACAACAGAATCTCTGGTGGCCTTGACGTGCTAGCAGAGAAACTCCCCAACCTCACACATCTAAATCTAAGTGGGAACAAACTGAAGGACATCAGCACATTGGAACCTTTGGTAGGTACACCAAACTCCCGGTAGAGCACAATACAGTACAACACCATCTCATTGTCTCAGGCTATGCCTCAAATGACACTATTCCCCATATAGAGTTTTGACCGTAGACCTATTTGGCAGTGTGATGTTTGTTTGTTTCCCTATGTGGCTCTGGTCAAAAGTAGTGTAATAGCCTACGAGGAAAAGGTGTTCTATAAGCTCTTGAGAGATTTATTCAGGCAGTGTTATTGACCCCCTAATTACCCTACACCCATTTGGTCCCACAGAAAAAGCTGGACAGCCTGAAGTCTCTGGACCTGTTCAACTGTGAGGTGACCAACCTGAACGACTACAGGGAGAGTGTGTTCAAGCTGCTCCCTCAACTCACCTACCTGGATGGGTACGACGTGGAGGACCGGGAGGCGTCTGACGTGGATGGGGTGGACGATGAAGACGATGAGGGTGGGCAGCCATTTAGTTTTCGTGTTGAGGAAATGGAAGCGCAGATGTGAGTTGAGAATGGGGGTCTTCTGTAGTTCAGTTGGTAGAGCATGGTGCTTGCAATGCCAGGATAGTTGGTTTGATTCCCGGGACCACCCATATGTAAAATGTATGCTCGCATTACTAAGTCGCTTCGGATAAAAGTGTCTGCTAAATGGCATATTATATATTACAATCCATATTAGTACATCGTGGGTGTTTTGTCATGCAAGGCAATTCTATTGTGTATTTGTAGGGTTTGTCGGCATGTATCTGTGTGATGACTGACAATGGAGGTGGTGTATTTGTTTTTTAGAAGAGGATGAGGAGGGAGAGGAGGAAGACTTTGATGAAGAGGACGATGATGATGGTGATGAAGAGGAGGGAGTAGAAGGAGAGGAGGATGATGAGGTCATCGGAGATAAGGAGGTAAAGCCCTTTTTGGTTTGTTTGTGACCCAGTAGTTTAAAAGATCAACAGGGGGGGGATATGGTTTGAGAGCTCTGGATTCTGACCTGCTCTGTCCCTTCTCTCCAGGAGGAAGACCTTGGCATTGATGGTGAAGTTGAAGATGAGGAGGATGATGAGGACGACGATGAAGAGGGTATGTCATTCTCATACTTTTTGTCACAAGCTCATGTCCAAACCTCATGTTAAAATGTTTCACTTTTAGATACTTTACTAAGTACAGGATCATATAGTATAATAACACTTTCCCATTTCTCCCAGAAGTCGAGGCTGTCCAAGGAGAGAAGAGAAAGCGAGAACCTGATGACAACGATTATGATGGCGATTAAGAGCAAAAGACGAGAGCCAATCAAGTTGCCAGCCCCTTCCCTCTCCAGTAGTAGTTATATAGGATGAGCCTTGACTAGAATACAGTATATACATATGAAGTGGGTAAAACAGTATGTAAACATTATTAGAGTGACCAGTGTTCATAGGGCAGCAGTCTCTAAGGTGCAGGGTTGAGTAACCGGCTAGTAACAGTGACTAAGTTCAGGGCAGGGTACTGGACGGAGTCCGGCTAGTGGTGACTATTTAACAGTCTGATGGCCTGGAGATAGAAGCTGTTTTTCAGTCTCTTGGTCCCAGCTTTGATGCACCTGTACTGTCTCCGCCTTCTAGATGGTAGCTGGTTGAACAGGCTGTGGCTCGGGTCCTTGATGATCTTCTTGGCTTTCCTGTGATACCGGTGCTGTAGATGTCCTGGAGGGCAGGCAGTGTGCCCCTGGTGATGCGTTGGGCTTACCGCACCACCCTCTGGAGAGCCCTGCGGTTGCGGACAGCGTAATTGCCGTACCAGGCAGTGATGCAGTCCGACAGGATGCTCTAAATGGTGCATCTGTAGAAGTTCCCCAGGGTCTGAGGGGCCAAACCAAATTTCTTCAGCCTTGCATTTCTACTCCCAAACGAATGAAAATAGAATGATGGTGACACCATTTAAAATAGAATTTTCCCCTCCAAAAATGAGCCTAACAACATATTGCTCATGCTGGTGTGTTATTTAGCAATAAGCATTATCACCGTCCTATGCCCCCCCACCTCCCTCAATTGAACGAACTGCCATTATTATTACACAGAAATATGGTAGAAGAATACCTTTTACTCATAAAAACAGTACATACAAACACCAGTACCTGGTTTCCCTTCCATATTGAAATAAAGGAGAAATAAATCAGCTTACTGCTGTGCAAATTCTATCAATAAAGATGGGGTGGGCCAATTTCTTTAGATTTTCTCAATTGAAATAAAATATAAAGGTGGTTCTGGAAGTATTCTTAGGGTGACTGTTAGGTTGCATAAACATGAGTGCTCCCCCCCCCCACAATTATGAACTTAATGTGTTTTTTAAACATAAATGAGGATAGGTTGCTGCTGCTGGTCAGTCTGAGACCGGCAGGCTGCTCATGACTGAGGAAAGGGAAGGGGTCTCCAATCTTTTCTGGCATGAGAGCTACTTTTAAAAAAAAATACAAATTAAATAAAAAACTTAACGAGCTACAAAAACATTTATAGGTTTCAAATAGGCCCATTCTTCTCCTCTCCGCTGCGACTCTTTCCCGGGTCCTTAGTGTAGAAGAGAAAGTAGTGCAGTATGTTTTCTGTCAATATACCTGGTAAAGTCATGGTTAATAAACAACTCTAAGGGGGGCCCTATAAATTCTGTGATATCCCCCCCCCCCCCCCCCCCCCCCCAAATTCTGTTTTATATTTTACTTAGTTGCCGAGTTAGTTTCGACTTAAATTTACTTAAATCTATGAAAAGAACAGAAAATGTTTGTTTAGCAATGATCAACAACCAGGGGTGTGAATACTTATGTAAATTAATGTTTTTGCATTTCATTTTCAATACATTTGCAAACATTTCTAAAAACATGTTTTCACTTTGTCATTATGGGGTATTGTGTGTAGATGGGTGAGGGGAAAAATGGATTTAATCCATTTAGAATTCAGGCTGTAACACAACAAAGTGGAATAAGTCAAGGTGTATTAATACTTTCAGAAGGTACTGTAAATAGTGTGATTGTCAGGCGTCAGTGTGTAGCGGTAGGACGGAGTCAGGCGCAGGACACAGAGCTAGTAGACAACGTACTTTACTCGTAAATATAAATGAACATAATCTCCACGCAGGGAGGACAATCCCGCTCACCAGTCGATAACACCAAACATAGAACAAACATGCACACAACGCAGTGGGAGCCAGAGGGTTAAATAGGGAACAAATCATAGACATAATGGGAACCAGGTGTGTACAATGAAGACAAAACAAGTAGAACACAGAAACATAGATCGGTAGCAGCTAGTACGTATACCAATGTTTAAAATATTTAAATTTGTTGTATTGCAACCGGTGTGAAAGACAATGACATATCATTTTTGGGGAATTATTAATATGCGTTACATAGTGTGTTAGGCATCTGTGGTAAATGTATGTAATAGATCATCTTATTATTGCAGGTTCCCCTGAGTTTCCTCAGGTAGTACTCATTTTACATTTTTGTCATTTAGCAGACGCTCTTATCCAGAGCGACTTACAGGAGGAATTAGGGTTAAATTCCTTGCTCAAGGGCACAGACACATTTTTCACCTAGTCAGCTCAGGGATTAGAACAAGCGACCTTTCGGTTACTGGCACAACGCTCTTAACCACTAAGCTACCTGCCACCCTTGATTGATGAACAACCTGACAAGGAATCATCTAACAAGTCAAAATCATGATATGTCAGACGTGAGTCGCATTTAAATATATTGAATGATCTCTTTTTCTCTCTGTCAGGCTATGAAGAAGAAAAATGACATTGACTCCTGAGATGTTGAACTGTTGCCACCCTGGTTATTAGCTGACCCTGCTGATCATCTGTGAAAGTTGGAACATCTTGAATAACGATAAGGCCTCAATGGCCACATGTACTATTAAATCTGCACCCAGCACAGCCAGAAGAGGACTAGCCACCCCTCAGAGCCTGGTTCCTCTCTAGGTTTAATCCTAGGTTTAGGATTTCTAGGGAGTGTTTCCTAGATGCTGTGCTTCTGCATTGATTGGTCTTAGGTTTTAGACTGGGGATCTGTAAAACACTTTGTGAAAACTGCTGATGCAAAAAGGGGTTTTAAGAAATATATTTGTTTGATTTACTTAATTTAAAAAAAAAAAAAAATCATATTATTATTATGCTACAGGTGAGACTTACACAGAAATTGTCAACGTCTTGTCGAGCACTCAAACCCAGGCCTTATGGATAAACCCCCAGAACAAATACATGAGCTTGGAGGAGCTGAAAGTGAGTGGTATTGAAAATAAATTATGTTCTATGGTCTCTCAGCCCCAGCCAATCATGTAGCTCCAACTTACAAGAATGGGGTTACAGGGCAGTGATGAAAACAGTTTATATGAGCTTTACACAGCATTGGGAATTCAAACATAATGATCTATCTATATATATATATATATTTGATACAATTACCCATTCAATACTGTTACAAAAACATGCACTAAAAACGACTTCTCATTGTGTACATTTCAAGGGCACCAGGTAGCTTAGTGGGTAAGAGCGTTGCGCCAGTAACTGAAAGGTCGCTGGTTCTAATCCCTGAGCCGACTAGGTGAAAAATCTGTTGATGTGCCCTTAAGCAAGGCACTTAACCCTAATTCCTCCTGTAAATCGCTCTGGATAAGAGCGTCTGCTAAATGACCAAAGAAAAAAAATATATATATTGGTTTCGCAAACATAATACAACTGTCTAGTTGATGTTTTACGGACTAACACACTGCTGAGTTTCCTGTTTACTAAAGAACAATAATTCAGACAAAACACAAACTAATATCTGTATACATGTCATTCTATATTGAAAACGGGTACATTCTGAAAGATTATCTTGATGGATTACACAATTTTATTCAGGTCGAATGAATCAGACTTGTGGAGGTCTACAATTTTATTTCTGAGGTCTTGGCTGATTTCTTATGATTTTCCCATGATGTCAAGCAAAGAGGCACTGATAGGCAGTTTGAAGGTAGGCCTTGAAATACATACACAGGTACACCTCCAATTGACTCAAATTATGTCAATTAGCCTATCAGAAGCTTCTAAAGCCATGACATCATTTTCTGGAATTTTCCAAGCTGTTTAAAGGCACAGTCAATTTAGTGTCTGTAAACCTCTGACCCACTGGAATTGTGATACTGTGAATTATAAGTGAAATAATCTGTCTGTAAACAATTGTTGGAAAAATGACTTGTGTCATGCACAAAGTAGATGTCCTAACCGACTTGCCAAAACTATAGTTTGTTAACAAGAAATTTGTGGAGTGGTTGAAAAAACGAGTTTTAATGACTCCAACCTAAGTGTATGTAAACTTCCGACTTCAACTGTATGTGAATAGATTTGGTCAAAGTAAAGCTTTGGTGGTAGAAAAATTGTACGACACCCCGGTCTTCCTAACATTTGACATAACTAGTAAGCCTTACATCCTGACTATATATGGGCTAACAAATATGCACCTGGGCACACATGGGAGGGGAGGGACCACATGCACTTTTCAGTAATGGAGGCCAGAGAGCATAATTGCTATATTCTAATTCAAATCATAGACCCCATAAGGGAACACATTACCAAATCAATGCATGGTCCATATAGAATTAAAACAACATTATTCTTAATGAGAAATATGATCTAATAAACAAATGTTTGCATAAACAAACATAGGATGTTCCCCCATGATGGAAGTGGGGCATGACTGAAAAAGTTTGGGAATCACTGATCTAGCTAATGATAAGCACAAATAACAGATGGGCATGCTTCATCTTATTTATTTACAGCCACTATGCTGCATCAGTTGGGCTACAGGTGATAATGCGGTAACACTTTATTTGAATAGTCCATCTGTAAATACTCTTCAGACTATCAGTAACATTTCAACTAACCAGTGTTGGGGATTATTAAACTAGATGTAGTTCAACTAGTAATTGAACTACATTTTGCAGCAGCTTGGTGGTAGTCGAACTAAATTCAAATCTAGGTAGTGTTATGCCATGTAGCATGTAGCTGACTACTTGAACTACACACTGCAAATAGAAAATAAAATATGGGTGAAGTAGGTAAG